GACCCGACCCGCCGAAAGGGCCTGAGGCGGCGGGCGCCCGGGTCCCAGGGCCCTGGGGAAGGACCCCCAGCCGCACGCCGGCTCCAAGTGCAAAGCATTGACACGGCCCCGAGAGGAGAGGGGGCGCCCTCCTTCTCCCTCGCCCGGCGGCCCGGCCGCTCTGGCCCGCGCCCCAGCTTGGCCTCCGACCCCGCTCTCCGCTGCGGCGCCGCCCGGGGCCCCTGCACTCCGGCGGGGGCTGGAAAGAGACGCCGGTGGGCGGGCGAGTCGGGAGGCGCGGGCGGCGGAGGTCCTGGAGCGGAACCCAGGTGGCGGGAGCCGGTGAGTGGAGCGGTGGTAGAACCCCGGCGGGGCCGGCGCGGGCGGGAGGGGGACGCGGCCTTGAGCTCGGGAAACGCGGGTACCCCCTGGCCCGCGCCTCCCCCTCACAGGAAGACTCGGGAGGAACGTGGAGTTCCCGGCAAGCCCTGAACTCAGCCCAGTATCTGTCTGCGTCCCGGATCCAGTCCTGAGCCCTCCGACGGCCCGGAGAACCGGTCCTCGGGGCTAGGAAGGTGAGCGCATCTCCCGCCGAGCACAGGGAGGCACGGCGCGGGCTGATCCCGGTTCCCAGATTCTTGAGCCGCGACCCAACGAATTTTCGCCGCATCCGGTACCGGAGACCCAAGTCTCCCTCATCCTAAACAGCGGCATCGTCTCTCCGCTCTCCGCCACGTTCTTACAGTTTGTTTCCGTCTCTCCGAAGCGTAGGTCTCCCAAGTTCAGTAGTTCGGAGCAACGAGTGTGAGGGTCGGAGGGTCTGCGCACACCTGTGGTTGAATCCACCCGCCCCCCCCAGTCTTCGTTCTTCAGGAACCCCACTATTTCCCCCCGCCCTATGGTGTGTGTGTGTGTGTGTGTGTGTGTGTTGTGCCCAGTACGGTGGTGCCCACTGTGCGCGGCGTGAGCCGCAATTTAAGGAGTGCGCCCAGGGAGTGAAGAGGCCACACACCTGCCTTGAGTCGGGCTCGGGCGCTGACACTCAGACTGATTCCTGGTGGTCGTGTTCTAAAGGACAAGAAGGACCACATAACTACACATAGGTGACACTCCTGCCCGCACGACCTATATAAGTGCGGGCGAGTTCGGCTGGCAGGGCCCTGTGCCCGCGTGGTAGACGCGTACAGCCCACATCCAACAGTGACCCAGGCAACACTGCCCATCCATTGCGCACACCCAGTCACAGGGCACCCTGTCGCTGCACACTTGGACCTGGCATGTAAAGCCTGATGGCTTGGAGCAGTGCGGATTAGGGACCGGCCAGGGCTGTTTGACCTCCGCGACCTTTTTTCTACTTTTCCAAGCCAGTCCCGGAGCCCTCGCAGCTCCCTTACCCGGCTCGCGAACGAGCGCCGCCCCCACAGAGTTTCTCTTCACGACCCTGCTCGTGGCTGGGTCGGGTCGCTCCTCTCTGAGTGCCTCTTCTCTGTCCAGAACGAATCTTCGACTCCGCGCTGCGCAGTCTACGCAGAAGGCGCAGGATCCGTTGCAGCTTTGCACAAAGTCCGGCCGGCTCCATTTAGGCGGGATATGGCCCCTCAGGGAGGGACGTGTGTGGGCAGGTTTGCGCAGTGGGTGAGGTGACCAGATAATAGGGCAGCGTTCCTTAGCCAGGAATCCGGGGACGGGCTCTGGGGAATCCGTGAATACATTTGCAAAGTCGTGCGTGTACACATACTTTTGTGCCCGTAAGAATGTGTGTACACCTAACTGTGCAATTTGGACATTTTCTTGGGAAAGGTCCGTAGCTGGTCCAGGGGTCCACGGCCGGGAGAGTTCGAAACACGCTGGCCTGGGTTGTTTGCCGAAGAACCCCGGCGCCGGTGCATGGCTGCATTTGGGGACCACGATCCCACCTGGCCACAGCCACTGGGTCACCGACTTGCCCTCCCGCGGCCACAGGCTCTTTCCGGCCAGGCCCCTGTCGTCTGCCCTGCCTTTCCGTCCCGCAACCAACCCGAGATCTTGCTACAGGCGCTCTCAAGATTCTGAATCTACCCCCCAGCCAAACTCTCCACCGAGGAATATCCTTGACTCCTCGAAAACCCACGGAGGGGAGGCCCAGGAGGCCTCGGAGCGGCGCCTTGAGGCTCCCAAGCTCCTGCTCGGCCCCTCCCCCACCTGGGTCTACCCCTCTTCCCCTTCCCGGGAACAGGCGCCTCTAGGGGGGTCCCCGGGGCTGAGAGTTCGTGTCTCTTTAAGAGGCCCCGGGGGGCGCCTCGCAAGCCGCCCGGGGCTGGAGGGGGGAGGGCACGGGCGGGGGCGGCTGGCGCCAGGCGGCCGAGGCTCCACAACAAAGCTCCGGCCCCTGTCACTTCGCATCGGCCGGGCCCCGCAGACGGGCGGGGGACGCGCGCTCAGCTGCCCCTCCCTCTCCCAGGCAGTCCTGGGTCCGGGCGTCGGGCGGGCGCGGGCCTCCCGGCCTCCAGCGGGTGGTTGTGCGCCCCCAGTACGCTCCGCGATTCCCGCAACAAGGAAATCGGGCGCGGGGGTGGGGGGGTGGCGGCCTGGGCCGGGTGGTGCCTTGGTCCTGAGCCTGGCTGGGCCGCCCGTCCGTCCTTGGCCCCGTAACATTTCGCGGGGTCAAGGCCACTGTTGGGACCTTCCCGGGGTTGGGCCTCGCCGGTGTCTTTGCTCTGTGTGACTGGGCGTGGACCTGAGTGCGCCCGCGTGGGTGGCTTAGGGGTATATGGTCAGTGGCACAGGGGACGTGCGTCGGGTAACGGGGCGCTGTCGTGAGACGAGTACTAAGGATATGATTGTGCCCGGGCTAAGCTCAGGTGACGTGTGTGGCCTATGCGTGTGACCAGCAGTGGAGGTGCCACTGGGCGCCTGTCCCCATCTTGGCGCGTTGTGTGTGTGTGTGTGTGTGTGTGTGTGGTGGGGGGTGCGGGGGAAGACACAGAGTTGCTTCCCAGCCCCGCGCTTCCCGGCCCGACCCGCGCCTCCCGGAGTCTTGGCGCCAGCCAGCCCCGTTTAGCGGCCGGGCCCGGCTCCCCCGCGGTCCCGGCTCTGGCTGGGGTGGGGGCCGCGGCCTCGATGACCCCGGCCCGCAGCGGCCCGGCCTGTCCCGTCCACTTAGACAAATTGCGGCTGACAGGCGCGCAGTCTCTCTGGAGTCGCCGCCCGCCCGACGCCTCCCTCCCGACCCAATTACCCCGCGCGGGGTCGGGCCAAATGGCTGGGATGGGGGGCGTGGGGAGAGCGGGAGGCGCGACCTCTTCACGGCCCGCGTGGTGGCCCCGGCCTTGCTCCAGGAAAGGCGGCGGGGACACTTTTTCCGGTGAGGTCCCCGGAAGTGCCTGGGCAGACACGGCCCGTGTGGCCCAGTCCCCAGTCTTCCAGGCTAATGCGAAGACGAGGCCCCTCCTGGCCGCTCGGGTTCAGGACCTACCCTGCCTTTGAAGGGGGTCGCTTTACACCCGATGGCGAGGTGCGTTGGCCGGCAACCCAGGGTGCGTCCCCTCCGGCCTTTTGACGACTTCCCCAGAGTTTTGGGGGCCCTATAACCCTGGGAGCTCCAGACTATTAGCTGCTCTGGGGTCTTAGTCCCTTGGTGGCCGCTGTCTGCTTGGGAGCAGGGGTCGGCCCAAGTGAGGTGTACGTGTGTGAACCTGCGAGCGCGTGGACGTGCACAGCTGTGAAATGGTTGGGTGTGGGTGCTTGGGATCACGGCGGTGAGAGCAGGTCATGCTGTTGCGGGGCCTGAGAGAGGGGGCAAATCTCTTTTTTGGGGGGGGCAACTCTCTTAAAGGACCCCTAAGACCAGCCCACCTGAGAGAGAGGGGGCGGGGCTGGCCTGCGCGCGCTCGCCAGGATCTGGATTCGCTTTCCCAAACGCTTTCGCAGGGAGGGGCCCGGGATTTCCTGGCGCAGCGTCGTCCTCCCGGGCAGCGCCTCACAATCAGGGTTCCAGCTGGGTCGTACCCGCCCTCCCTTCCCCGAGGTAGAGCTACCTGGCCTGTCTGGTCAGCCTCGGGACCTCCAACCAACCTTTTGCCTTTTTAACCGGTAACTTCCTCTCTGCTGGCTTCAGCCTGGTTGCTCTTCTTGGCAGGACGTGCACCTCTCCCCCTATTTTACAGATGAGGACCCTGAAGCCCAGAGGGGCAGTAATTTGCCACGCAGCTACCAGTGGCAGGGCTGGGATGGGACCTTGGGACCTTAAAAGAGAGCAAGGCCGTCTCCACTCCTTAGCAGCTGGTGATGTCACCGCGGTCCTGACTTACACGGCAGGGCAACACTGAGATTTCAGGGCCCCACCGTCAGGCTGGGCTCTTGTTTTGAATACAAGGCAGACAAGACACTCTCTCCCTTTGCCCCTAGAGTTTCCGGCTGTAGGTCTGCAGGAGGGGGCCGCCTTTCCAAGTTACACAGGGACAGGGAGCAGCTTCAAACGTCAGCCAGGGGCTGGGTCTGGAAGCTCTTAGGGGTAGGGGATGGAGATGAGTGGGATCAGAGTCTTGGATTGTGTGGGGGCGCAGGACAGGGAGGTCAGCACAGAATCCCGCCCTCGAAGGGAACTGGGCGGAGGCATAGGAGGCAGCAAGAAGCAGAACGAGGTCAGATTAGCTGTGTGACTTTGTAACCCTGGCCAAGGCCCGGGCCTTCTCTGGGGCTCCGGCTTCTCATCTGCAAAATCAGGACCAGGCGGTACTCTCTTAAGTACTTTCTAGTTCAGAAATTCTCTGGTCTGTGCAAATCAGAAAAATCAGCCCTTGAGAAACCACTTCCAACCCCAGACTGGCAGCTGCCTGCCCTGGCCTCTGCTTGCTTCCAGAGCCCATACTACTGTTGGACAGAGCGCTCATGTGCCTGGATTTGCCTTGGGACCACTGGGCCTTCTCTCAAATCAATCCCAGACACTGCCCTCCCTCCTTGAGCTGCCACCCCAGCTCCCATCAGCCTCTTCACAGACCATGAAGATATTTTTTCCTCCATCAAATTGAGAGAAAGTCCATGGTAATTTGCCCTTTGAGCAGGTAGCACTGTGAGAATCAGGGAGATCACATGGCTTCCTCAAGGTCACTCGGTCAGGCCACAATTAGATGCATGTTCTGATGGCCTCCTAGGTGATGGCATCATGGAGGTCTGCTGGGCTGCTGGGGGGGTTGGTGAGGTGGAGATTGCCCTTGGTGTTATCTCTAGAGGATAGGAGGCTGGCTGCTCCAGGGCCAGTGGGCAGTAAGGTCCCCCACCCAGGGGCCTAGATCTCACTTCCAGCTGATTACAGGCTGTGGCAGGGTCCATAACCTCCCCAATTAGCCAGGGGCCAGGCCCAAGGCCTCTCTGATAACCTGAGCCCTGTGGCAGCCGCCATGGGGCCAGCTTATCTGGCCTTTCTTATCCTCCCCCTTCCCCCACATACTCAAAGACTTGCCCTGGCTGTGAGCAGATGAATAACCAGATTGTCCTGCAAGCTCAGCCGGCAAGTCCAGCCCTACACCCACAACTTTCCCTGACTGGAGGAGGCCACAGATGTTTTGCACCCCCTGGAGGGAAAGGGCTGAGCCAGGGAGGACTCCTGACTCGAAGCTCCCAGCCAGTTCCCTGCATGGTTGGAGAGAGCTCCCGGCTCTCCATCTTTGCCCCAACCACGAACCCACGTGGAGGCAGAGGGGCTCACCTTTCCTAGAGCTCTGGACCCATCCCCAGGGAGCCAGGCCACGGGGCAGCCTGGCAGCACCCCTCTCCCTGACCTCTTTTGGACGGAAACACTGGTCTGGCGGGGGGTCGGGGCTGTGCCAGGCACATCAAGGTCTCGGATTCGGCCGAAATGGGGGGAAAGCTGCTGCTAGTCTGGCAGCCCCCAGGGGCCGTGCCCAGACCTGCTTATGTTCCCAGCATGCCTCTCTGCAGCCTGTGATTCCTTACCTACCACCATTGCAGGCCCCAGACGGGAGGGACTGGCTTCAGCCACCCTATCTACGTAAGGCCGTCTACTCAGCCTGCAGAGCCCACTGTGATTCAGGTCCCGCTTCGCCCAATATGCCCAACTGACCCGGTGGCAGGCACTGACGACAAAATCTCCTCTCAGGTGTCATGGGGTGCACGTGAAGGGGGCACAGACCCCAGGAGCTACTCCGGCTCCATCTGGACGGTTGCATGGGAATCCCGGCTTGTGAACTCAACTCTCCCGAGGCTGTTACATTAAACTTTACCCCAAACCACACCTGGCTCAGTGGGTTTTCTTCAATCCTCCCAGGCCCCTCTGGGTTCTCAGGGAAGAGGGGGGACTGGGGCTCGCATTAGTCTCCTTCCTGCTCGATACCCCTTTTTGCTCCTCCTGTTCCCATCTCCTTCCTGCCTTTCAAGTCAGGTCTGGAATTGGGAAGGGGTGGGAGAGCAAAATCAGGAACCTGTCATCCAAGGTTCTAGCCAGGATTCATGAGACCTACCTACACCTGACCATCCTTCCACCTTCTGAGTTGGAAAAGAGAAGCAATTACAAGGTGCCTGCCCCAAAGATAAGGCTAGCATCCTCAGGAGGCTCTCTGTCCCCCAGCAGCCCCCCACCCCCACCCCCACACATGTCAAGGACTGGACTGGCCCTGACTGCCGCAGCCGGTGTGTGTGTGGGGGGGGGCTCCTGGCCTGTGTGGGGCCTCTTGAATTCACTGGCTCTGGTAACCAGCAAGAAGTTTGGAGAATGAATTTAAATTCGGCCCTACCCAGATTGCAGAGCAAACATTCTCCTTCCCCTTCCTACCCCCTCACTGACCCTCCAATCAGTTGCTCATGTCGAGGCAAAGGGTGCTGGGAGCAGGGACACATGGTTGGGTCCACAGGACTCTGCTCAGGGCTTGGAGAGGACCCTGACCCCAGCAACACAGGGATGGACACCAATTATAGCGTGATTTATTGGACAAGACGTGCACTTTTTGACAGGGCCTTAGTAACCACGGTTTCCTTCACTGGACAGTACAGGACCAGGGTAAAAGGGCTTACAGACAAGAACGACAAATCCTTCCCATGAGCCAAAGGGGAAAGAAAAGAGGAAGGGGGGCTTCTCCTTCCTTCCTCCCTCCTTCCCTAATACTCTGGGCCTCAGTTTACCTCATGCCAGAGTGAGGTTGGCCAAGGGAAACTGGGCAGTGCATCTCATAGCCAGGAGTGGGCTGGGGCTGTCCGCTCAGGGTCAAAATGCCCAGCCAGGCCATCCGCGCTCTCCCCTTCCAGGCCCCCCGTGGGTATGGTTAGAAAACACAAAAGTGGATCCAATGCAGGACATCATGTGCAAACGGAGGAGGGGACAGAGCTTCTGCAGTCTCCTTCAGCCAGGGCCCCGCTGATGGGGGACAGAGGTCAGAATGCGCCAAGGTGCTTGGGAGAAGGGGCTCTTCTCCATCCGGGGAGGGTAGGTGGCTGTTGTCACTAAGCTTGGGGAAGGTGGTTGGTGAAAGAGGAGCAGAGACTGAAGGGTAGGACCAAGAGGGGGGCTTCTCCCCCTCCTTCCAGCAGGTGAGTGGGTGGGCCAGTCAGAAGCAGGTTGCTGGTACTACGGGAAGCCAGTAGGGAAGAGGCTGAGGGGCTGACTCTCATTGGTGGGCAGTGGAGATCGGTAGCCATCGAAGTTTCTTGGGATGCTGCCGCTGGTAGAACCTGAGCTGTTACTCAGTGTCTCGATGCTTCCCTCTCGCTGTAGTTCTGTAAGACAAAGGAGAGGACCAGGCCTGGTCAGAGCGGGGTCTGGGGGAGTGGGGCACACCCTGGGCCGGGCTGTCTGCCTGGAGGCACCTTCCAGAGGGGGGATCCCCACCTGCTCCCCAGATGAGCCATGCAGCAGCTCCGGTCACAGGGAGTTCAGCCGAAGGAGGGAGAAGCTCCCTTGGCTGGCAGAGTCCAGTTTTAGGCCACAGTCTTTCCCTCGTTGTGGGAACCCCTTTAGGCCAGAAGTCTGGCCGCCCTGCTGATTGGTCTGGACCACACTGCCATACATGGGACACGTGCCCACACCTGCACACATACTCATGCTCAGCCAGCATGCTCCCCGATTCCGGAAGTGGCTCCGGTCCTGGATCTACAGGTCAGGCAGGCAGGAGAAAAGCCAGAACGCGGCAAGGACTGCATCTTCCCTGCCTGATCTGTCCCTGCCTCTCCTCCCTGGCCCTGCCTGCTCCCCAGAGCTTCCACCCTGGCTTAGCAACTCACTTGCTCACTCATTCTGACCCACACAGTCTGCCTGCTGGCCAGGCCACCACTCATCTCTGGCACCTCCTGGAAAGTATCCTGTTTTCCTGCAGGAGGGAATGCCTGGTTGGAGAAGGGCCTATTCCAATGGAGACAATGTCCCTGCTTGCCTGCAGTGCCTCCTTTCTCCCTTTCTCTTAGCCCCCAAGTGTCCTGGGGGCCCCTCGGAATGCAGAGTTGCCCTGGGAAGCAGGTGGGGAGGCTCCCATCCCCTCTGCCGCTCCTTCCCTGGCCCTCCCACAGCCATGCTGCCATCTTGGATACAGCAACTGGTCCTATCTCATTCAGTTGTGGGAACCTTAACTGCCCCCCAACCCCCAATCTCTTGACCTAAGATAGGTACTGGGGCAGGTGGGTTGGGAATAGACTTCCTTGCATGCTGCATACAAGAAGAAGGAATTACTTCTTGGCTTTTCCAAGTGGCTAGTTCCTATCCCCTTTCAGTCCCTCAGAGTGGGCTCTGAGATGTGGGCACACACATCCCCGGGAAGACTCTGGGAGTGTACCCCAAGCCAAGATGTGGTGATCTGCAATTTCTCCTTCTCCAAGGTACACTCGCCTGGGACTGAGAGGGTCTTGCCTGTCCCCCTCAGGAGCTCAGGACCTCAAAGCAAACTTGAAACAGCAAAGTGTGCTTGAGTGTTACACTTGTCTGGTCTGGCTTGAGCCCTTTATCTCCAGCCTGCCCCCTCTCCCAGCACCCTGCCGCCATATGCATGCAGCACAGCTAGCTTTGGTTAGGGGAAGAGTCATGGCCTTCACTCTTGGTCCGGCCATCGGCAGCCAGCCAGGAACTAACCACTGACTCCCCAAAGCACAGAAGCTGCCCAGCGGTAGCAGCCGCAGAATGGGATGGGAGAGTCTGTGCTGCCCTACTTCAGAGCAGGCGCCTGGACCCAGGACTGAGGGGCCTTCAGGCCGCACCAGCCACATCTGGAACCTCGACACTGGAACCTCTCAGCAGATAGGGGGCAGTGGAAGGAGGGGACTGTGGACACAGGCTGTGGGCCCGATGATGGTCTCAATCTCCAAGAGGCACTGGCTTCCCTTTTGGGCCAGAGACCCTGGGATACGTCAAGAGTTATCTAGATATGGACAGAAAACAGGGCAGGTGGCTACCGCATGAGCTCTGTCTTCCCTGCTCGTTCTCTGGTCTCACCCTAATTTGGGAGTACAGACCCTGTGCCAAGAGAGGGAGAAGATGGGAAAGCAAAGAACAGACCCTGGGATTTCTACGCGGAAGTGTCAGACTCCACGAAATCTTCCTTCGTTCCCTTCTTTGCCCACAAGCAAGCCAAGGAGTGTGTGGGGGATCCCGGAGGCCCCGTTTGATTTCCGAGACCCTTGCCCTCATGCACAGCCGTCCTGGCACTAGGGGGCGCTGACAGCAGGGCCAGGAGGGCAGGAGAGAGGCGCACTGGCAGGAGCAAGGAAAGCAGGGGTTTCCTCAGGATCTGGACACCAGGCCCAAGCAAGAAAGCCCCAGATGAAGGAGCAGGAAAGGCCACTAGAATGGGAGAGGCTGGCCCCTTTCCAGAGCTGGGGGACAGGCCCAGAGTTCTTGATGAAGAGTGCCGACACATCCACGCTGCCAAGGAGGCGGAGGAGACTGGAGCCCAGAACCAAGCACGGCACCCCCGCTGCCCCTTGGCACAGGCCCAGGGCAACCCCCTCAGCAGTCTCAGAGGCCCCACTCCGTAAGTCTGAGTGGACGCACCTCATCCCATCATGTGATAGCGCAGGGACAGTGGCCAAAGGAACTTGCTGCTCTTGGGGGCCAGGTATGGCCTGACCGGCCCGGCTCCTATTTTCTCTTCACCAATCAGGCCTGGGGTAAGACGGGAGTGGGCAGACTCCCCCCTTCTCCCCCGCCCCCCCGCACTTAGGCCTTTGATTCCACCTAGATGATTTCAAGAACTCCCTACCGGTCTCCCGACCCCCCGGTACCCCCCTCTCCAACCCGCCATACCAAACCCGAGTGGCTCATCTGCGACACAAACCTCATCTTGCTTTTCCTTTGCTTAAAAACCTTCATCGCTCCTCGAGTCCTCAGCATCAGATCTAAAGTCAGCACTACAACATGGCCTTTCACGACCTGCCCCCAAGACCCCACCTCACTAATGGCACGTTATTGAATTCGAAGCACCAAAGTAAAATGCCCTTGTGCAGTTTTGGGATCTCTCCAGGCTGCCTCAGGCCCCCCGGGGGCCTGTGCTTACGCCATTCCCTTTGACTGAAAAGCCCTTCCCAGGCTCGCCTGGCCCCCAGAACACCTACTCATCTTCCAAAGGTTAGCACAGGTGTCCACACCTCTGTGAGCCTGTCCTGTTGCCCTGGCAGCGCCGGCCAGGCCCCGCTGGGCTCCGTCCTCACTCCCGCCCCAGGCCCTCTAACACTCCGCACCGTCTGTTCACGTGTGTGTCCCCACCCGGGGGCAAAGCCCCTCGGGGGCTGCTTCTGCGCCTTATCTCTGTTTCCCTCATGCCAACCACAGGGCCTGGAAAACAGCTGGTGCTCAAAAAACATTTCCTGAACGAATGATGTGGTAAGGAGAGGCGGGAGCTGCTCTTCAGCATGGACTATCAGTAAGAGAACCAGGGGCCTGGCTGGACCGGGCACTTTTCTATATGCCTTCTATCACCCCCCTTCTCTCTTCTGAGACAGAACAATGAGTGTGTGTGGAAGAGGAAGTGGAGGAGGGGTGCGCACAGGTCCCCCCCTTCGAGTCACCCCGGCCGCCCAGCCCTAGGAGCAAGCGGCAAATGGAAATGTGTGGCCTTACCTTCCTCCATCCCGAACACCTGCTTTGTTACTGTTGGGTTGCTCACGGACGCTGGGCTGTTGGCATTGTTTTTTTTTTCCTTTTTTTTTCCCTTTTGAAAAGAAAAGCATTGAGGAATCTTTTTGGAAAAGATATGGACAACGATTGAGAAGTACACTGATCTCTGCAAGCAGGTGGAGAGGTAGCTAAGGAGGTGTGGGGTGTCACGCTGCGGGGAGGGCAGGCTGGTGGCGAGATTCTGCAGTCAAGGACAGTGACATGCATGTGTAGGGCGGTGGGGGCCAACCCGTCTGGAGGGTCTCAGAGACTGGTCACTGTGGTGACGGAGCTGAGAGGCCCTCCGGCGTGGGGGTGGGGAGAGAGGAGCCGCACACGGAGCACGAGGGCGGAGTGGGAAGGGAGAGAAGGGTGCTGGCAGGCACCCCATGCGGGTGGGCTGCCAGGAGAGGGAGAGGAGACAGTGGTAGGCTGCAGAGTTTTGGGGGACACCTCCAGACCTTTGGACTCAGGGGCCCAGCTTCTGGGCTGCTGCCCTCCTCCCCCAATCCCGAGCCCCCAGGTCTGGGCAGTTCTCCTACAGCCCAGGTGGGCTCGTGGGGAGAGTCTGGCAGCTACCTGCCAGGGCCGCGGGGGAGAGCTGGGGGCTCTGTGCAGGGGTGGCTGGGAGAGCGCACCCCGCAACCTCTCTACTTGGGAAGAATGCAGATTCCGCTCAGTGGGAAAAAGCCAGCTCTAAAGGAGGTTGCTCCCCAGGCCTCAAAGCACGGTAGGGGATGAGGACTAGTTCCCAGCCAAGGGGCTGGGCTCAGAGAGAAGATAGCTTATTGTGCCCTCACATCCTCCAGTGACTCTGTGCACCCGGGAGTTGGGTGCTCGTGTCCCCCTCTTGCAGACAGCAAAACCAAGGGAGAGTAGGAAGCCACCGGCTCTGGCTATGCAGTCCCCCTGAGAGGGAACTGGGGCAGCTGCAGGCCCCGGGATGGAGATGTCGGCAACTCCGGGCATCGCTGACTGGCCCGCAGTGCTCCCTGCTGGCTGTGACCACCCATTCCCAACTGCTTCTCATTGGGAAAGGGGCCTGCTATCCACAGATGCCCCTCGATGCCATGGCCAGGGTGGGCAAGCCACAGGGGGTAGGGGGACAACGGAAGGAGCAGCAACTACGAGGGAGGCACGAGGTTCTCCTAAGTGAAGGAAAGAGAATGCTCAATCCTCAGGTGGCCCCCACTCCCCATGGAGTCTGGCAAAATTCGAAGGTGTCAGAGGGGGCATGGAGGTGGCTGCCCTTGTTAGGGAGAAGCAGCTCTGGCTCCCTGGGCACGTATGCAAAGGGAGAAGTCACGGTTAAGTCTCTGTGAGGAGGCAGGAACACGGGCTGGACTGTGCAGAGCAAGGGAGTCCCTCGGTGGCAGCTCACTCTCTCATCCCACAGCTGGATATTGCAGCCCCTCTGCAAAGGCAGGGGCATGGGGACTGGCTCCTGGGAGCCGTGGGTGGGTGGGTGTGGATGAGCCCGGCAGGGTGCACCGTGGGGAGAGGCAGAGGATGGAGGCAGACGGCGCCCGAGACGGCATCTGGGGGCCCGGGCACGAGGACACCCCCCCTCTGTGGCCTTTCCCTGTGGAGTGATGGTCCCCAAGGCTGCTTCGCCCTTGAGGTTTTCCCTGGGGCTGTCCTCTCCCCTGGATACAGACCCTTTCCTCCCTTGAGGCTGCCCCACATGGCAAGACAGAGACTTCCAGGGACAGGCTGGATGGAAGCCTCTTTTCCCTCATGAGTCACTTTACTAAGCGCCACTGTCTTGGTTCCCCCACGCCCTAGGAAACGCTGGGGACACAGGGACTAGGTGAGCCTTGGAGAAAGCGGGGGAAGCCCAGGTGGGCAAGGGGCCCCCAGTGGGAGGTCAGGAGTGAAGTCCTACTTTGGGCTTGACTGTCGCCAGGCCTCTTCCAGGCCAGATGGCAGTGGGGGCAGCTGGCCAGTCAGAGACCCTGAGGGAAGCCCATTTGGCATCTGGTCGGTGGGGGGCGGGCATCGTGGAGAGCCCGAGGCTCAGGACTCAGAGGGAGGCCCGTTTGTGGGATCCAGCGGGGTCAGTGAAGGCAGTGCCGTGCGTGTGTTTGGGAGGAGGGTGCCTGGGACCCCTGGTTCGGCCTCCAGGCAGCCCGGGGACTTCCTCCAGCACCGAAGCACAGCATCTACCGGCGGCTCAGCAGTCAGCTACGTTCTGTACACTTAGAGCCTCGCGATGCTGCTCATTAAAGGGATTAGCGGAGCATGTTTATTGGGCCCTGGCTGCAACCACACACCCCAGCCCTATACTAACCACCCAAGCGGCTATGGGGCGGGGGGCGGGGAGGGGGGGAGCATTAGACCTCAGGGCAGAGTCTTACCCTGCACCCACAGCCCGCTTCTGGCAGTGGGAAGGGAGAATGCTCCCCCCCCCACCCCCCCATCCCAAGGCCTCAAGGGCCCGCGAAGACGGGAGGGGCAGTGTCTGCCCAGAGTGGGGAGGCAGTTTAGGGAAATGGTTGAGAGCCTAGGCTCCAGCCTGCTGCCACGTGGGAGACTTTGGGCAAACATCTCCTGTGCCTCAGTTTCCTGTGCACAAGGATAATAATGTTTGCTTCCTGGTGTGATTGTAGGAATTAAATTAAATAATGTAATGCATGTAGAGTGCATCACAAAGTGCTTAAAGCTTCCAGCCAGCAAATGTGAGTTACTACTATTGTTGCAATTGTATTAGTGATTGTGATTATCCATAGGATCCTCTGGGTCCCTCTCCATCTTCCCTCTCCAGCAGGTGCCTCTGCCAAACAGGTCCCTATGAGCGGGCCTGCCACTGGAGCTTGGGAAGGATTCTTTGTTTTTAATCAAGAAATGGCCTGCTGAGGAAGATGGCAGATATGTGTTTACAGCTTTTCATTTCCCTCCTTGCCTCTTTGTAAATACCCTTTTCCAAGCTGGAAAATAAATTTCCAACCCTGCTGACATGCATTGATTTTTTCCCTCCTACATCTACCTTCCCCATGGGCGGGGCCTGTGGTTAAGCCCCTTGCCTGGGTTGGGCTCAGTGGTACCCTAGGGGAGCGGGTGGCCCCAGAACACAGAGCAGCCAGCCAAACTGCCCCATCCTGCCCACTGCCTGGCTCCCAGAGGAGGTTTGCAAAAAGAAATAGTTCCAATCCCCTTCTTGGCTGGGGAAGGAGGTGCGGGTGGCCTCTGACTAAGAGGTGAGAGATTTTCAGAACTTCTCTGGATGGAATATGGGGAGAGGAGACCAGGGGATCACGGGACTGCTGCCAAGTTCAGCAGATGGATCCAAATGGGGTCTGCCCCAAGCAATCCACTTGGTCAGCCAGGGGCCTGCTGGGATCTGCTGGCTGGGACCAACCAAGCAAACTGGGACTTGGAGAGAGAAAGGTGAAGCAGGTAGGGGACTTGAATGCATCCTGTGGGGCTGAGCAGGACTGGCAACCCCCTCATGCTGGGATCCTGAGAGACGGCCTGGATGCCAATCAGGAGGCTGCTTGCCTGACACCAGTCCTGGCCCTGGAAACTACTGCTCACTCCTCTAGAGTGAGGCAGAGACAGAGATGGAGTTGGCGAAAAATGTTTCCAGAAACCCCGACAGCCCTGTCAGAGCCCACACTCTGGGCTGGAGCCAGCCTCAGCGTTGGCCATTTTTAGGAGGATACAAGGGCAGCAGGTAAAGGAGGTGGCCTGTGGGGGGCCTTGCTTTTCTTCACACTCAGAAATGCCCACCTTGGAGGCCGCCCGCCTCCCCGACACACCTCCCCGCCCCGCCCTGCTCCCAGCCTCACCCTGCGCTGTGGGGTGCACGCACTCGGGCAACCCCACAGGCTGCAGAGCTGACAGAGATGCCAACAGACCAGCATGGCGGTCTTGGGAGGATGGGGCCGGGGGAGACAGAAGGATCGCCCTTCCCTTCCAGCAGGGCCTTTGTTCCCTTCCCAGGCATGCTTGTGGAAGGAAGGAGGGCAGCGTCTTGAAGCTGAGGGGCCGAAGATGAAATGGCTCCTCCACATCCAGATAATAGGAATCCCGGTTTGGGCTGATGGAATCTGGACGTCGAGGAGAAACAGGACTAATTCGGACCTGGTTATCTCCACACCTCACACCTATGTCTGAGTGCAGAGCCCTGGCCCACTGATGTTACATTCCGCTGGTGCCTCACCGCCCACAGCCTGTCAGCCTGAGGGCAGCCACGCACCTTCCTTCCTGCCCGGAGTCCCTTTCCACCCCCAGGACTCCCACAACCGTGCTTTTTCTCCCCCTTGCCCAGCTCTCGTCCCTGACCCCCACAGGTACTGAGGCCCAGAATGTCACAGAACGAGGCCAGGACCACATGGTCTGCCCTGCCCTCCACCCCTCAGCTCCGGACAATGAGGGGAAATATCCAGTGCTCTTGGCTCAGGAGACCAGGAACTGCTTCCCTTGGCCACTGGGGCCATGCACGTGCCTAATAACCTTAGGGTTTAGGGGGAGACCCGAGGCCTAGAGAAGACTTTGGGTCTTCCCAAGCATCCACTGGAAAGTTGTGGTCAGTTGTAGAAAGTTGTAGAAAGGATGACGGTTGAGGAGACTAGGCAAGCAGACAGCCTCCATCCAGGTAAACTGGGTGGCCTCCATCCAGAAAAACATCCAGTAGGCACATCACCTCTCTTCCCCATCGCTCCTTCCCCCCAGTAGCCAAAGAGGAACCTTATTCATGACAGCAGGCCATTAATATCATGACGTAGAGGCACAGAGGTAGCTAGATCCCCAAATTCCTGGTGGGGCCAGTAGGGACAGGGGTGTGGCAGGAGATGAGCATGCTGGAATGTTGGGGAAGGGAGAGTAAACATAGAAAGAGAGGGGGAGGGAGGCCTAACGAATGAGGAGGACTCCGGAGGCCCCTGTTCAAAAGACCAGACTCTCACCACATCCTACACCCCCTCTCCATTGGAGCTGGCTGTGTGTGTGTGTGTGTGTGTGTGTGTGTGTGTGTGTGTGTTGGGGGAGTGGGGAGCGCAGTATCCGAGTTCCAACAGAGCAAGCAGCTCATGGCTTAGCCCCAGATTCCTTCACAGCCTTTGAACAGCTGATGAGCAATGGCAGTAGGTGGGGTATTAGTTGGAGGGTATGCTGGCCTGGTTGGGGGTGAGAGCCTTTCCCCAGGTCGCCCCATAGAACAACCATAATAAGGAACCAATCCCAGGTAGGGAAAGACTTGAACCAGAAATGCTGCCACACTCCACTCCCAGGAAATCCATGTTACCTAAGCCAAGTCTGGGCTTCAAAGCAGAAGAGAGCAGGATCCCCCACCCGGACCACCTCGACCAGTACCCCGTGTGCAGTGACCCTCTCAGTCCACTCTATTGCTCTAACTTTATATATTGACCTGTCACAGCCTATTAGACACGGGGACAGCAAAGGCTGAGCGGACCAGGCTCCCGTTTCCCTGGTTTTGAGATATTTGGCAAATCTGGCTGAAGCCACACTTCGGGAACAGCCCTGCACTGAAACTCCCTGCAGATGGCAGGAAGGAAGAGTCCTGTGGTAGGAGGCTGAGAGTTCTGTCACAGACAGATGTGCTGAATGACCCGCGCGAGTCACTTCACTTCTCCTCTGCTTCAGCATCTGTCAGGCAGGAGGGGAGGGGCGGTTCCGGCAACCTCACGGGGTGTGTGAGGCTCTAAAGAGAAAAGGATGTGATGGGGCTTTCAGAAGCAGAACACACACTGAACACATGGAGTGTCCCGGTTAGAAAATCAGTGTGGCCACCTCTGGTGTTCCAGCAGGCGGAGGCCCCCAGAGGAGAGCTCCTCATGCAGGAGGGCCTGAAAGGGTCTTTCTAGCTCCGGGTCACGGCACGACCCTGAGGGCCGAGTCTTGGCAGATGCCATCTGAGGTAGACACGGGCTGGGCGGTTCGGAGATGGGTCTTTGGTAGAGAATGCCCAGCCAGGTGCTGTGTCATGAGCTCTTTGTGTGTGTGTGTGTCTGTGTGTGGGAAGGATGTGGGTGCTAATGAAGGCCCTGCAAACATGCCCACTCAGCATGGCTACGAGGAGGACACGGCGCTTGGAAAGTCTCCTGTGGAAATGGTGCTTGGCAGCTAGCCTGGACCCGCCTATCTCCTCCAGCCCAGCCTTGAGGCTCGGGAGACCCCACCGAGCTCCCAGACGGGGTCTTCCCGAGCTGCCCTCCAGGCCTGAGAGACAGCACAGGGGTCCGCAGACCACAGGAGAGATGCAGCTCCTTGAACTTTGCTGGCCTGACGGGCCAGAGCCACATCTGGTTCTCATTCGAATGTCCAAACATAATTAAATTCTCTATGATGCAGTGGAAGAGTTTGGTAAGATGTGGCTTTTCCCCCCTTTCCATCAAGGTTAAGAAATCAGTCTCTCATTCCACCAGCCAGCCGACTCATTCTCCTCCCTGCCACTGGTCTGTCCCATTCTAGAAAGCAGAGGCTCGTGCTCTGATCCGATTTCTCGAGCTGACGGGGCCGGGGCCAGTGTGGGCTACACGGAGCCCCTCTCCCCCAGTCTCACTTACCCACCTGAGAGGATTAACAGCTGAGGCCAAAGCAGCAGGCTGGGGACTGAGCAAGTTAGTGCACTGTGGGTTGGGCGGGGGTGGGGAGCTGAGCCGTTGTACCCAGGCTGTTCCGTGACAAACCAGTGTCCTCGCACTGACTAGATGCAAAGATCCCCTCTCTGTAGGTCCTCACAATGGGAAGCCATTGAGAGTCTCCAGAGTCTCTGGCCTGGCCCTCTGGTCCCTCTGTGGGAAATGGAGCTTTCCATGGTCAGGGAGGGGTGAGGCAGTCCCATGTCTCCCCCCCTCCCCGGCACCTCTCACTTTGCAGCCTAGGGACGGCTGCAAGGCGGCACCGTGCCCCCGGCCCGCCTCCACATACAAAGGAGGGAGGCAGGGGGAGTGTTGGAGGCATGGAGAAGGCCAAGAGCAGCAATGAGCCCTCTCAAAGAATCCCTGGGACCTCCGGTCATTTCTGGCCTGTCAAGGCTCTGAACAGGCTAATGGGCAGCAGGGTCCAAGGTGCAGTCCTCGGAGATGGAGGGCGGCCTCCTCAACAGAAAGGAGGCCCACTAACCGGAGGCTTCGCTACCTCTCCTCAGCTGCCTGTCCAGGACTGCCCTGAATTCAAGCAAAATATCCTCTAGATGGGATGCTTTTTCTAGCGTCCCTTCCCGAGTATCTTCTGTTTATGGCTTTTTTTTTTTTTCTAAACTTAGGGATTTATGACTTTCATGGTAATGGGTTCCATTCTACTTCCTCTGTGCCTATTTTTCTAATCTTTGTGGAGGCTTTCTTTACAAGAGTTTCTTAATAAGTCAGGATATTTTTCCTTTTGAAACAAGCTGTCCTGCAAGTTAATGACTTACGGTAGGTGTGGATGCTACCCAGAGACAAACAGGAGCTGGGAAGGGGATAACCAGGGTATAGCAGGGGAGAATCTTCTAGATTAAATAGAGCTATGCAGAGGTCCCTTTAAGACCCTTGGCCAAGTCCTGTCTAGTGCCCTCCTGATGTTCGCAACATCCCTATCAGACGCCTAGGACCACTTGCAGGTACACGTGGTGTTTCCATGCCAAAGAATGCTCAATGCTCACCCTGGGGACAGGTGCACACACACACGCACACACAAGTTGGTGTGAACCAAACAATCCCAACGTTGCTGACCTGGCTCTGAATAGGAATAATTCTGTGTATCTTTTTCAAATGGTAAACTTTTGTTTAGTAACGAATTTAATTAATTTCTTGGTGGCATCGGTGCCAAGGCCACGGGTCTGGTGCCTTCACATCCACGAAGAAGCCTTTAAGGAAACTTAAGCCAGTGCTTAGCCCAGGTGCCCGAGGCCAAGCCTAGCCAAGAGAATGGCGCGGTGGGGCCGAGGTCCCCGCTGTCCCTGCTGGGGTCGCAGCCCGTGCTTGGGAACCCTCGCTCCCCCACTGGGAGGGCAGCACAAGTCTCAATTAGCTGCTGTGGAGCCGCCTGTCCAGGGCAAAACGCTGAGCGGATGCTGCCTCTGCTTTGTGCTCTGTTCACAGACCGGCTGCTGGAGCCGGGGCTCTATTCATTATTCAATTCAGCTGGCTCAGACGAGCCTTTCCATTTGCTCCTCCAGGAGGAATAACAAATCTAGAAATGCAATTCCATTTTGGTGTATTAAGATATCGATTCGCCTGGCGAGGGGAAGTGCATTCGTTCTGTCAGCCCTCCCGTGGGCAGGAAGGGGTTAACCAAATGTTTATCACAAGGCTGGCTTCAGAGTTGAAAGTAATGTGATCAGTAATGAATTTTGTGTTACATTAGGTTGTATAAATGGACAGACAAGCGCAGACAACAAGTGGCCAGGAGTCGGGGCTAATCTAATGATGTAAAAATAGAGACAGCACCAATTATACTAGGGGCCAGCTCCAGGCTCCTGCAGGGACTGCAAATGAATAGGTACAAATCAAATTACTCACTAATAGACGCACTACAAGAGGGGCAGTCAATGGTAAATGCATTAGAGCCTAGTGACCTCTCTGCTCTGCACAGCAGAATCCGAAAATTTGACTTCCATCTTAAAAGTGGGGGGCAGGGAATGAGGTTCTCAAAGAAACTCTTGTTGGGTGAGGAACAGCAACTACGGCGCCCCCCAAACCAGTCCGTTGCCAGAAGGTACCTCCTGTCTGTGCTGACCTCTTGTCCTCAATTCAAGGCCTCCTGAGAGCTTGAGCACCAGGGGATGGGGGTGCGGTGTAAGGGAGCAACTTCTGGAGGGACAAACAGAGCAGTGGGACGAAGCCTTGCACGTAGGCAAAGACAGGAGGTTACATACCAACATACTTCACAGCCACGTGTCTCTCAGGGGTGGTGTGTTTTACAGCTACGTCAAGGGCTGTGTCTGTATTGAAAACAGAATATTTCTTTAAAGAGGATCACAACGTGGACCTTTCAGAGAGCAGCAAGTGCTGAAACCAAAGCGAGTAGGTATCAAAAATCTGGTTGGGCCACGGAGAGCCCTGCAAGAGGTTGTCGTGGTCTGTTCCACAGTGCAGCACATCCGGGCTTTCACGTAACGCTCACTAGCCTCGACTGCTGTCACCCTTCCCTCCGTTCCTCCTGCCCCGTGCTGCCTACATCCATGGATCATGGAGACATGCTCAAAGGCAGGATCCGTTTGCTCACATTCAGCTCTCTGTGGCTTGGGGAGGAACACAGTGTGAAACCAAAACATCTCCAAGCCTTCCGAGGACCCAGCCAGGCCCAGATGGAAACGGGACCCTGCTGGGCTTAGTCCACACTCCCCCCCACTCAGTGCTGTAAGCCCAGCACTATCGCACCCATCAAAGTCGAGACGGCATGCTGGTTCTGGCCAACTGGGGCCCAGAGATGATGGGAACATGCCAGCAGAATGAGCACAGGGAGGGCACAGAGTGGAAAAAGTCACCCGACACAAATGAAGCAACTGGATGTTGATCTTCCCCAAACTGAATTAAGCACATGGAGGGGTGGGATAGCAAGCTATCAAGCTACACTAAATAATATGTGGGGGGAGTTGGGGGAGGTCTGTGAAGCCTGGTGCTGGGGGATTCTGCCAGCAAATTAAAAAATTTATGCTTATGCAGTGGGCCTGCAGGTGCCTGGGGGCAGGGGTGGGTTCAAAGAGAAGTGGGCAGGAAGAAATCACCCAATGTCAGCGGTTAGGTGGCTGATTCTGATAGAGGTACTTGGCACTGCCTCCTTCTGCTACGTTCAGTCACACTGGCATCGCTTGGCAGGGCCCTGGATTCCTGAAGGGTCAGAGGGTCATTTCCAACTTCACTTCCTGTGTATATGTGTATCTCTCCTCTGTTACCAGCCATCGAGCCTAGGGGCTGGTCCGTACACTGCAGACCATCTCCTGAGGAGGCAGGAGGCAGAGACAAGCGCAGAGGGGAAGATGGGTATTTAGCCATCCATGACTGTGTTCAACTTTGTTCAGATCTCACACCTCACAGAAAGGTCAATGGTTAAAGGTGAATTCTTTGGCAGAGGAGGAAGAGCAGAGAGAAATACTCCCTCTTGTTAACCATTTACCTATGTTAATGTCTCCAGAGGAGGGCCCTTGTCTGGGGGTCCAACTGCCCTTCCCCACCCTCTTGTCCAAGCCTCTTCATTTTCCACAGGAACTCCTGCCTCCATGTTGGGCCAGTACCCGGAAAGGGGATTCTGAAGGTTCCCCAATGAAGTCACACTGGCACTTCCTCCTTGTTGACAGGAATTGGCGTGCTCTGGTTAAAGAATTCAGAGTAGACTGGGCAACTGAAAACTGTGCAGAGGAACTGCTCAGCCCTAAGCTCCCATTATAGCTCTGCCTCTGCCTGGGACTTCTAGCAGTCTTGGGAGACGGAGAGGGAGAGGGGGGGAGAGAGAGAGAGAGGAGGGAGAGGGGGAGACAGGGAGAGAGGGGAGAGGGAGAAGGGGAAGAGTGGGGACGAGAGAGACAGAGGCAGAGAGAGAGGGAGACGGGGGAGACAGAGAGAGGGAGACGGGGGGAGGGAAGGGAGAGGGAGAG